GTTAATCTTCACTGTACACCTTGCATAAAAATTTCATATGGTACACACGAGGTGTCATGCACACCAGAAAATTAAAACAGCTGTCACGGTTAAACTTCATATTATTTCGGGTCCGAAAAATTAGTAAATATTCTTCAGACGTTCTAAAGTAAAGGTGAACAGCGTTATTCTTAAAAATATCACTGTTATGTAGTTAAAAAAATCCGGAAAGTTCTCGCTTCGTGACTTGTTCAATACTTCGAACGCGGCTCGAGTCCGTCCCGACCTTCTGTCAAAGCCTCGTGCTGCGGACTCTCTCGCGGACCCTCTCTCTCGCACCGTCACCTCTCATTGGCCAGTGTTTTTCGTTAATAACTCGTTAACAAAGCCGCGGATTGCATTTTCGCAAAGGAAAAAGTTACTTCAAATGACCTCAGCTACCCCTCATTTTCGGCTGTTAAAATAATTGTGGGACACCCTGTATAGGGTGTTCGAAAAATCGTGATACAAACGGCAAGAGTGTGATTCCTGACATAAAACTGAGATAAATTAGAAAATAATTAAAACTAAAGGAGTGGAGTAGGATATAACATACTTACATTTACTAATTACTTACACTTACTAATTTCATGAAAATTATACCATATTGTAACTGATATTGTTTACAAATGGAAGCAACAGTGTGGTTTGTCAAGTTGAGTAAACGAAGCAGTCTTGTCTCTAAGTGCACGCGTAATTAATGAATTTTCAAACTCGATTTCCTGAAAATTAAGTCCTGTACAAAAAATTTTGATTTCATGTTTTGGACATGAAATTCCTCTTATGTGAGGAATTGTCGATTGTATCATGATTTTTCGAATACCCTGTATAAGCAATTTTATTTTTTGTAACGTTTAAGTTAATTTTAAAGTAATTTTTGTAAGCTTACTTTGTGTTTGTATACATTTCAATTGAAGTGTTATATTTTAAATGAAGAATGTGAAGAAATAAAAATCTACACTCCGCGACAATAATTATTTTGTACTATTAGGAGCTGAAAAGAATAACCTCTACCAACAAACTAAACGCGGAGCTCCAGGGGAATCGAGCAACCGATCCACCTAACCTCTTTTCCTTTTCCAGATTGTCGATCGTTATTGACTAAGTAAACAACACGAAGGGTAAAGGGAATCGATCACCCGCGCCATCTAATCTCGTTTTCTGTCTAGAGCAGGACTCGGAATTAAGTGCATGAAACACGGCAATGTCAAGGGCTTCGCCTCCTGACCAATGTAAGCATGCATATTAACTACACTCGATGACGCATGCGTAGGGTACCTACCAGATGAACATTGTAAAACCATCTGCAGTTCTGCGTCGTGTCGCGATCGCAATTCAGAACTACAATATTCACCCGGTAATCGCCACTTTCGGATCGAGGCACATCAAGTTCGTGTACATACGTAAAATTTGAACTTTCATCTTTTACCCCAACGTCCAACATTATTATATGCTCGCCCACTGTGAGCTGTCGAAAAAAAACAAAATTTTCCGAAAGCCACGGAATTCTATTATTCCGAATTCAAATAAGCGCGGTGCCGTGATCATAGGAATTAATAAGATGGCGACGATCTCGTTTAGGTCGACATCGCACAGTAACACCGTCAACTATATTATGATATTCTATGGTCAAGATTTAAGCGCCCACATACGTTGTATCTATCAACTTGTTTGAATTTCTGACAGTTTAAACTTAATTAAGAAGAATTGTCAAATTACATATACAAAAATAACCTTTAATGTTTTCACGATTTACTCGGAAAATAGGTTTTGTGTTGTGATTTTTCTTAGTTACTGTGTTTACATAAAGGTGACCATCAAATTTTATTTCATTCCTATTTACATATGTACATTTAAAATCAGTTACTTAATTATGTTTATCTACGAATACATATATTTTTTATGTGTTTAGAAATATGGAAAAATCTACTGATCCATTTGCATGGGCTCACAAATTGAGATGTCCACCAACAATTTGCAATGATTCTGTAAAAAAAATGTTTGTATAGATTTTTAGTGTTGTTTACAAATAGATTTTAAGAAAATTGAGCATTGCTAATGTAAATACATACAATAGTTTGATCCTAATATCATAGTTGTGAATAATGCACTATATTTACAGATTATATACAGGTACTGTTTCATTTCTATGGGATGATTTAGCTGATCTTATATTTACTGTCGATGAGGTAAAAACTATAAGAAAAAATGTATTATTACATCAGTTAAAAACAGGACAGCCAAATAAAGTAGTTCAATGCATGCAAAACCTGATACAGCTAAAATCTGCAAGAAGTGATATAAAAAACCAAATATCTAAACTAGAAGAGGAATACGAGCAATTAGATTTTATGGTCAG